TGGAGGCAGTGCATTTCAGATCGTCAGATGGTTGTTTTAAAAAGTGCATTGGTGCCTAGAAATGCACTCCTTACTCTTGTAAATGTTATTAACTTATGGGGTAGGACTTAAATAGCAGATAACAGAAATGTTAGTGTTTAATGCTCCACTTTGCCTGCAGTGTCTCTCTTTCTCTATGCTGATCCTATTAGTTCTGATCATTTATTTGTCTCATTTGTTGGATGATGAATAAAATTTAGTTGAAGTAAGCGAGTTGACTATAAACAAATCACAATTTTGTTCTGACTACTGTTTGATGGGGCTGCCCTTTCTGTCTACAGCCCACAATATTCATGTAGACATAGAAAGTAGGAGGAGGAGTAGCCCTTGGAGTATGCTGCACTATTGAATGTGATCATGGCTGATCATCCAACTCCGTATCCTGTTCCCACTTTACCCCCAAACCATACAATCCCTTTACCCCCAAAAACTATATCTGACCTCTTCTTGAAAACATTCAATGTTTTGGCCTCAACTCCTTTTTGTGACCGAGAATTCCAGAGGCTCACCACTTCTTGGATGAAGAAATTTCTCCTCCTGTCAGTCTTAAATGGCCTACCCTATCCTTAAAATGTGACCCTGGTTCTGGGCTCCCTGATCATTGGCAACATCCTTCCTGTGTTTACCTTGTAGAATTTTATGTTTCTATGAGATTCCCCCTCAATCTTCCAGAGCTCCAGTGAATATAGCCCTAACTGATCCAGTCTCTCTTCATACATCAGCCCGAGTACCCCAGGAATCAGTCTGGTAAATCTTTGTTGCACTTCCTCCGTTACCAGAATATCTTGCCTCATAGGGTGACCAGAACTGCACATAGTACTGCAGGTGAGGTCTCACTAAGGGAAATTCTTGGCTGATCTTCTATATCCCCCCCTTCTATATAAGCTCTAATGTATGAATTCCACATAGGTCTCTTTAGACTGTAACCTTCAGTGGTCCGCTGACTTAAACAGCTGGGGACTGGCAAAGAGAGAGGCCGTGGCTTCTTTGTAGTAAATAAAGAACAAAGAAAATTACAGCACAGGAACAGGCCCTTCGGCTCTCCAAGCCTGCGCCGATCCAGATCCTCTACCTAAACCTGTCGCATATTTTCCAAGGATCTGTATCCCTCTGCTCCCTGCCCATTCATGTATCTGTCTAGATACATCTTAAATGACACTATCGTGCCCGTCTCTACCACCTCCGCTGGCAACGTGTTCCAGGCACCCACCACCCTCTGCGTAAAGAACTTTCCACGCATATCTCCCTTAAACTTTTCCCCTCTCACCTTGAAATCGTGACCCCTAATAATTGAGTCCCCCACTCTGGGGAAAAAGCTTCTTGCTATCCACCCTGTCTATACCGCTCATGATTTTGTAGACCTCAATGAGGTCCCCCCTCAACCTCCGTCTTTCTAATGTAAATAATCCTAATCTACTCAACCTCTCTTCATAGCTAGCTCCCTCCATACCAGGCAACATCCTGGTGAACCTCCTCTGCACCCTCTCCAAGCATCCACATCCTTTTGGTAATGTGGCGACCAGAACTGTACGCAGTATTCCAAACGTGATCGAACTAAAGTCCTATACAACTGTAACATGACCTGCCAACTCTTGTACTCAATACCCCGTCCGATGAATGAAAGCATGCCGTATGCCTTCCTGACCACTCTATCCACCTGCATTGCCACCTTCAGGGTACAATGGACCTGAACACCCAGATCTCTCTGTGTATCAATTTTCCCCAGGGCTTTTCCATTTACCGTATAGTTTGCTCTTGAATTGGATCTTCCAAGATGCATCACCTCGCATTTGCCTGGATTGAACTCCATCTGCCATTTCTCCACCCAACTCTCCAATCTATCTATATTCTGCTGCATTCTCTGACTGTCCCCTTCACTATCTGCTACTCCTCCAATCTTAGTGTCATCTGCAAACTTGCTAATCAGACCATCTGTACCTTCCTCCAGATCATTTATGTATATCACAAACAACAGTGGTCCCAATACGGATCCCTGTGGAACACCACTGGTCACAGTTCTCCATTTTGAGAAACTCCCTTCCACTACAACCCTCTGTCTCCTGTTGCCCAGCCAGTTCTCTATCCATCTAGCTAGTACACCCCGGACCCCATGCGACTTCACTCTCCCCATCGGCCTACCATGGGGAACCTTATCAAACGCCTTACTGAAGTCCATGTATATGACATCCACAGTCCTTCCCTCATCTATCAACTTTGTCACTTCCTCAAAGAATTCTATCAAGTTGGTAAGACATGACCTTCCCTGCACAAAACCATGCTGCCTATCACTAATAAGCCCATTTTCTTCCAAATGTAAATAGATCCTATCCCTCAGTATCTTCTCCAGCAGCTTCCCCACCACTGACGTCAGGCTCACCGGTCTGTAATTACCTGGATTATCCTTGCTACCCTTCTTAAACAAGGGGACAACATTAGCAATTCTCCAGTCCTCCGGGACCTCACCCGTGCTCAAGGATGCTGCAAAGATATCTGTTAAGGCCCCAGCTATTTCTTCTCTTGCTTCCCTCAGTAACCTGGGATAGATCCCATCCGGACCTGGGGACTTGTCCACCCTAATGCCTTTTAGAATACCCAACACTCTTTCCCCCCCCCGCCCCATGCCGACTTGACTTAGAGTAATCAAACATCTATCCCTAACCTCAACACCAGTCATGTCCCTCAAATACCGATGCCAAGTACTCATTAAGAATCTCACTCATTTTCTCTGACTCCTTGCATAACTTCCCTCCTTTGTCCTTGAGTGGGCCAACCCTTTCTCTAGTTACCCTCTTGCTCCTTTTGTGTGAATAAAAGGCTTTGGGATTTTCCTTAACCCTGTTTGCTAAAGATATTTCATGATCCCTTTCAGCCCTCTTAATTCCTCATTTCAGATTGGTCCTACTTTCCCGATATTCTTCCAAAGCTTCGTCTGTTTTCAGTCGCCTAGACCTTATGTATGCTTCCTTTTTCCTCTTTGCTAGTCTCACAATTTCACCTGTCATCCATGGTTCCCTAATCTTGCCCTTTCTATCCCTCATTTTCACAGGGACATGTCTGTCCTGAACTCTAATTAACCTCTCTTTAAAAGCCTCCCACATATCATATGTGGATTTACCCTCAAACAGCTGCTCCCAATCCATATTCCCCAGCTCCTGCCGAATTTTGCTATAGTTGGCCTTCCCCCAATTCAGCACTGTTCCTTTAGGACCAGTCTCGTCTTTGTCCATCAGTATTCTAAAACTTACGGAATTGTGATCACTATTCCCAAAGTAATCCTCTACTGAAACTTCAGCCACCTGGCCGGGCTCATTCCCCAACACCAGGTCCAGTATGGCCCCTTCCCGAGTTGGACTATTTACATACTGCTCTAGAAAACCCTCCTGCATGTTCCTTACAAATTCTGCTCCATCGAAACCCCTAACACTAAGTGGATCCCAGTCAATGTTGGGAAAATTAAAATCTCCCATCACCACCACCCTGTTGCTCCTACAAATTTCCATAATCTGTCTACATATTTGTACCTCTATCTCACGCTCGCTGTTGGGAGGCCTGTAGTGAAGCCCCAACATTGTTATCGCAGCCTTCCTATTTCTGAGCTCTGCCCATATTGCCTCACTGCTCGAGTCCTCCATAGTGCCCTCCTTCAGCACAGCTGTGATATCCTCTTTGACCAGTAATGCAACTCCACCCTTTTTACCTCCCTCTCTATCCCGCCTGAAGCATCTATATCCTGGGATATTTAGTTGCCAATCTTGCCCTTCCCTCAACCAAGTCTCGGTAATAGCAATAACATCATACTCCCAGGTACTAATCCAAGCCCTAAGTTCATCTGCCTTACCTACTACACTTCTCGCATTAAAACAAGTGCACCTCAGACCACCTGTCCCTTTGCGTACATCATCTGCTCTCTGCCTCCTCTTCCCCTTAGTCACACTGACTTCATTATCTAGTTCGTTACAGGCTTTAGTTAACTACCTCCTTACCGTCCACTAACCTCCTCATTTGGTTCCCATCCCCCTGCCACATGAGTTTAAACCCTCCCCAACAGCGTTAGCAAAAGCACCCCCTAGGACATTGGTTCCAGCCCTGCCCAGGTGTAGACTGTCTGATTTGTAATAGTCCCACCTCCCCCAGAACCAGTCCCAATGTCCCAAAAATCTGAACCCCTCCCTCCTGCACCATCTCTCAAGCCAATCATTTATCTGCCTATTCTTTCAATTCTACTCTGACTAGCACGTGGCACTGGTAGCGATCCTGAGATTACTACCTCTGAGGTCCTACTTTTTAACTTGGCTCCTAACTCCCTAAATTCTGCTTGCAGGACCTCATCCCGTTTATTACCTATATCATTGGTGCCTATATGCACCCCGACAGCTGGCTGTTCACCCTCCCCCTTCAGAATGTCCTGCAGTCGATCTGAGACATCCCTGACCCATGCACCTGGGAGGCACATACCATTTGGGAGTCTCCTTTTCGGCCACAGAACCGCCTATCTACTCCCCTTACAATCGAATCCCCTATGACTATAGCCCTTCCACTCTTTTTCCCGCCCTTCTGTACAGCAGAGCCAGCCACGGTGCCTGTAAATGGCCTCTATTTTCTTTTTCAGCTTGCATCGTTAAGGTGGGTGGGAGGAGCTATGCTCAGGTGTACAATGCATCTTCCAAATGCAACAAAGCTCCAGGGCTGAGGGGCTCAGGTAGTTTAAGAGCATGATGGTTCAGGTTTGCTGGAATTGAGCTACTCTCTGGCTGTGAAATCACTGCCTTATGGATTGGGTGTGGGTCTCTATCCATCCTTCCTGTTAGCTGATTCGAGTCCATTAAGCTTACCTGTTTCTTGCATTTTTACTGGTTTGCAATTTTCCCCAAGAACCAGTTAATGTAACCCACAGATTTTTATTTTTACTGTAATTTGATCAGAGATCAAGCTGTTGACTAAATTCTTTCTGCACTACCTAGGAGAATGGAGCAAGTAACATCCTTCGAGACATTGCCAGAGCCAGGGAGAATATCCAGAAGTCACTGGCAGGAGTGAGTACCCGCTCCTCGTAGCTGGCCGCAGACTTGAGATGCCCATTTAGTTGTATATAAAGAATTTCCCAAAAATGACAGTAAATTGTTTTTGCTATCAGAAAGCTAGGCAATGGTTTTAATTGTTTTTGCACCGCATTTTTTTTTAAATTGTCTGCACAAGTTGGTAGTATTTTTCACATCATGACTAAGAATTGTATTGAGTATTTTAACAAAAAGTAACTTTCTTAAATATGAGACATGGTAATAAAGCAGCATCATTTAACTAAATGGCTAATTACCAAAACTAACCCCCAGTTAAGATTAAATGAAACTGTAGGATTGACTCAAGTAATTATAAACAAGGTCATATTAATCTTCACACAATTCATTAAATTTCTGGTACAAGAAATGGCAGAAGATAGACCATTCGTCCCTTTGAGCCCAGTGGTAGCTAATTACTATATTGTTGGAAAAATGCTGCCATCATTATCATGTGTAACTTTCCAACTGAATAATAGTATAAAACGGGCAGTGTGCTTTTGATTCTCTTCTCTGTAACCAAGGGCAATGTCTGTTGCATCTGATCCTTGCTGTGGGTGGAGGGAGGCTGGTGATGTGATTCTTGGAAGGGACCAGACCTGGATTCCACAGGAGATTTATGAGCCCCTGAGCCTGTTCTGTCACTGAGTGAGCTCTGACGTGCAATAAAATTCCATGTACCCAACTGTGTCCCCAAATACCTTAATCTCATATCATAGAATAAAATCATAGAATGTTACAGTACTGAAGGAGGCTATTCAACCGATCGTCTCTGTACTGGCTCCCAAAAGAGCTACCTGGCTAGTCCCATTCTCCAGCCCTAACTTTGTAACCCTCTAAATTCATCACTTTCAAATATATATCGAGCTCGCTTTTGAAACCTTCTGTGGAATTCGCCTCTATCACTCTCCCTGGCAGCGCATTCCAAATCCTGACAACTCTCTGACGAAAGAGGTTTCTCCTTATCTCGCTCCCAGCTCTGTTGCTGACAATCTTGAAGTTGTGACCCGTAGTTACTCACATGCCAACTTGTGGGTACAGAATATCCTTCTTTACCCATTGGTTAACAGATTGATCTATTGACCCAGAGTCAGATGCTGTTTGTGAACAACATTTCCAAAATTCTGCCACCCTTTGAATGAGTGTTTCTTAATTTCACTACCAGAAGGTCCGACTCTAATTTTTAGGCCATATTCCCTCATTCTAAGCTCTGCAAAGAGCAGGACCCTAGCTGTTCCACTTAGTATCTTGGAAAATTATTAAATCACCCATAATCCTTTAACTCCCTCTAACAGCCATAGTTTGTGTAATTGTTTGGCGTGGATGGTGGGGGGAATGGAGGGAGAGAAGAGTCAGCCTTGTTTATTCCAAACTTTGTGTGCGTGTCAATTTGAATTGTTATTAACTCTGAATTCCAGAAGGAGGAATTGGATCTAGTTAGTATATAGAATTAGGTGTCTCTCTCTTTCTCATTGTGGCAGTTAGCGTGATCTACACCTTGCACTATTTGATATTCCTCTGGACTGTACTGAACTGAGGGCTTGGGCAGAGTTTCCCGATGATCTGAATGAGATACTCATCTGTTGCACATGTACGTTTTAATTTTTCCAGATGCAGCTGAGAAAACACCAGATGTTAGATGGTTTAACTTACTGTACATTGAACATCCAGTGCAATGTTCTCATGACAATTTTAATTAAATCAATGCACCTAATCTCTCAAAAATGATGTGCACAATACATGATGCCACTACAAAGATTATTTGTAAGAATAAAATACAAAACATTTTTACATTTGGATTGATCCTTGGCAAGACTACATCTGGAGTACTGTATGTAATTCTGATTGCCTTATTGCAAATACATATAGAAGCAGCAGACGGTCTTTTAAAAACTTTTCAGAGTGGGGTGTTGGAGGTCTTTTAAAAATTCTGCAAGGTTTTGATTGAGTGGATAACAGGGAGAATGTTTTCTCTTTGGAAGAACAGTGTGCCTAAGGGCTATCAATATAATATAGTCACCAAGAAATCTAATAGAGAATTTCAGAGAAACCGTCTTACGCTGAGAGTGGTCAGAATATAGAACTCAGTACCACGGAGTGTAGTTGGGGATCGGTGGGGGCAGATGAGGATGTGAAGGAGTAGGGAATAGGGCTAAGGAAAGTTAATAGGTTTCAAGTGGAGCATAAGTGGCCTGTTAGGCTAAATGGTCTGTTTCTGTGTTGTGTATCCCATGTAAAGAGATCAGCCCCTGTACCTTCTGCCTTTTCATGTATTCTACAGTTGAACCATGATGGTCTACATTATTCTTGGCCCTGTGAGAAAGGGATTTGAACCTTCCTAAACAATAGTTACACAGAATGTTTTCGCTATAGAGCCAACTGGATGGCTTAATATTTCCAGACAATGAGAAGATATCTCATCCGCATCTTAAATAGCTTCCATCTCAGTCAGTCCTTTGCTAAAACACGTAGTTTTTCTAAAATGAAATATTTTATTCTCTTCCACCTACCCCCTCCCAATTATTTCTGTGCATGTTTGTGTTAGAATTCTATTTGGGAGAGGGATTTCCGTCATCTGACCACACTGACTTCATGTCTGAGTAACTATTCACACTCCGATCAGGCATATCCCCACCTCCATGGATCGTTCAGCTGATGTTGGCGATTTGAATACTTTCCTGTAATTAATCAGGAAATGTATTTTGTAAATAAATTGATGTGAAAATAACTGCTTCAACTTGACATTCTGAAGCACAATAAAACAGTGAGAATGAGAACTGCCCCATTAAGATCCAGTGGAAACTTTGGTGCCTGTTTAAGGAGGGGGCTTTTCTTGATTTAAAAAAAAAAGACCATCTTCCATGAAATAATAGAGAATCAAAGTGCACTGAAGGGAGTAAATGAAATCCACTCCCAGATCAGGCTTTTAAAAACTCACTGAATTGACATCAAGGTTTGTGTTACAATTAACTGGGCATCACACTGTTAAACTGGACCATATTGTTTGAGCAAATTCATGAAAACAGATCAAAAAGAACAAAGAAAATAATAAAGCTGATTTGGATTCCTGTATTACAGTGCTAAGTTAGTGCCAGATGAGTCTGTGTTTTATAGACTGTGTGGAGGCAAAGTAGGTGCCTTATGGCAGTGTTGTGAGACTACCACAGTACAGTGTATGAACGTGTTTCCATGATCAGATCCAATCCGCTTGGGAGGCCAATGATAATCCCAAAGAAACCGTCCAGGATAACATCGATCCCACTTCAAGCCACGTGAGATTCCATGACAACAAGCGTAGATTCTGGGTGGCATGCTGACCTCTCCCAGTACATCACTAACTTCACCACTAATACCCATTACTTGTACTGCTGTTTGTAAACTACTAAATTACACAGCCTTACATTTTGGAGTGAATTGTGTTGACCTGTGCATTGTATTTTTATCTTGAGTCTTTAGTCCTATAAGCAAAGACAAGACTATGTCCGTCTATTTTTCCGCTCTACTGTTATCGCAATCCATCCTTTTCTGTCTGTCTGTGTGTGCGCGCGCACGCTTTGGGGTGTTGATCTCTTTTATGTTGAACTGTAATTAACACGAGTGTTAAAGTAGTGACCGCTGAATCATTGCATCTTTTCACCTTCACGAGCTTCTGTGTTACACACAGCCCCATGGACACCCACGCTTACTCACCGGAAAGGGCCGTACTGTGTGATTGTTCCTGAGTTGTGTTTCTAGTTTTTATAGCTGCATGGGAATGGAAACAAAGAGTTTTACTCATGTCTGCTCACAGGGCACTAAAGCTCTTTTGTTTGTTTTTGTTTCCTGAAAAGAATGTCTTGCTTGTAAATCATCAGAATGTAAGTACAGTGTTGCAGCTTTTTTGATGTGGGGGGGCCTCATGTGGAGAGTCCTTTGTCCTCCCATCTGTGTGATTCTTCAAATTTGCCTTTTATTTATTAATATAAAATACGGCTTCTTCACATCAGCTACAGGCAGAGCCAAGCCATGCATTCATCATTTGTCTGGTGTGTGTCCTGCTAGGGGAAGCATTTAAATGCCCAGGTTCAGTTTTTTCCATTCACTATTCCCTGTCTCTGAGCAGGCTTTTGGTAAGGGTGCTGCCTAATTTCGTGGTAAGCCCTATCGGAGTGAGTCTGCAAGTTGGCCTGTAACAGTTTGTGATTGCTGTCTGCCAGCGTCATTTCGTTCACAACTTGACCTTCTGTATTCAAAGGAATTCAAATCTGGTCTGTCCTTTACCCACATAGAGCCTGAGCATGCTGATGAGTCTGTGCTATCCCAACTCCAGGGCCAAAAGAACTTTCACAAGGCATAGTGCACAGAATTGAACGTGCTGTCCCAGGTGGAGTTTGCAACATCCTGCTTGTTACTGTGCAGAATGCCTTGGAAATCACCCATATATCCTCAACTTTTCCATACAGTGCAATGTGCTGTTGTGTTTGTAAGCTGTGATGCCAACATGGTGAACGGACGTGTGGGTTTCTGCACTGAGGCTCTGCTTCCCCCAAAAATGACAGTACTTTCTCACCTGTGTCCGTTTCCCTGTTCCCGGTGCTTACTCCGAGTGGGCTCTCTATTCCCAACGACAGGAATGTGAATGCACGTACAGTCCACTGATCAGTCATGGGAATGAGTGAAGTATCTGCCCTGACCCTAAGCATTGGTGCAAAGTCCATTTAGTCTGGTTGGTATGTAATTGAATACTGATCTCAGGAGACTGTCAGATCTGTAACAAAACGGTGGCATGGAGACAAACTTCACGGCTCTTTCTAACCCAGAGGGAAAAGCCCCTGATGCACAGAGCATTGAATTGGCTTTCTATTTCATTGAAAAACATTGTCTTTATCAGTTATCTCTTAAGAAATTACATTGTCAAGTGCATGAATCAACAAATGTGTGGGCATTTCTGGGTTTCCTTTCTTTGCCTGCCCTTAGTGTGTGTGTGTGTGTGTGTGTGTGTGTGTGTGTGTGAGAGAGAGCGAGTGCTTACTGTTCATTTCCAGGGGAGTCCCAGTTTCTCTTTCTGTTGCACCCATTTGGTAAGAGTCTGATGTTGCAGTTTATCGTTGTCCAGAATGCCTACTGCCCCTCTATCTCTTGCCAAATGGGGAGCAGGGGATGGAGGAAGAATGAGCTCACTCTTTGCTGTTTGGACATGTGCACGCTTTCTCTCTTTCTATAAGGCTAATTCCTGTGTGCTCTATCCTCAGAGTGCTGTGCAATGTTCAGATATTGAGATGTGTGCCCGGGTCATCAACCTAGAGAAAGAGAATCAGAGCTTACACCAGGGTAAGTGGGAGTTTTTTTCATGAGTTTGTCAGTTTGGTCAGTGTGCCTTGACTGTAAAAGGGGAAGGGGGTGATGTGGACGGATGTCACTTCTATCTGAGACGTGAGCTGCTTGCATTGTTTTAGTGATTCAGCCACACATTCTTGCATTGGCCAGAACTTTGGGGGCAATCTGCTTGCTGCTCTTCAAGCTGTGCCTTGGGATTTGTTGTGGAATAATTGAGATGTTAATTTGAAGGTTTCCATCTTTTGGGGAAAGACGTGGCACCAAGAGTGGTACCTCCTGGGAGCTAGTGAAGTTCTCCTGTGAGCCATAGATCACTGTGACTTGGAACTAAATCTCTGTTCCTTCACTGTCACTAGGTCAATTGTTTTTTATCTCATGGGACGTGGGCGTCACTGGCCGGACCGGCATTTATTGCCCATCCATAGTTGCCCTTGAGAAGGTGATGGTGAACTGCTTCTCGAACTGCTCAGGTCATGCTGAGTCGCTGCAGTCCATCCGAGAGCTCTGTTCAGAATTGAGTTCTGATGAAGTCATGCTGGTCTCAAAGGGTTTATCTGTTTCTCTCTGTCAGACCTGCTGAGTTTCTCCAGCATTTCCTGGGCTTGTTTCAGATTTCCAGCATCTGCAATAGATTGCTTTTTACCTGGGATTGTTTTATGATCAGAGGTTGAGCAACTTGGGCATATATTCTCATGTTTAGAAAGGGAGAAGTTTATTCTACTTCATTTGTTCTTCAGTATAATAGAAACTCGAGCAGATCATCCATGTAGCTCCATTTTTACTGCTTTCATTATCTGTCTGAATTCTCACTGGACTAGGCCCTATAGCCAAATGTCTGCCTGCTAACCATAGTCACCTCCTGAAAAGCATCCACTTCATGGCCCAAGAAAGTTTGAAATAAGTTTGTTTGGTACTTAGTCTCCACTGCTGTGGTCCATGATGTAACCTTTACTTCACACAAGACCATAACAAATACATTTTCAAAAACCCACCAATTTACTATACTCACTGAGGAGGAACAGGGTTGCTCTGGATAGTGAGAGGTGCAGTGCTTCCTGTGTGTGTGTTGCGTTTGATGCATTTCCTGTTCACCCCTTGTTAGTGGTGGAAGACCTGCGGTTGGCAATGTCGAAGCTGGAAGCCCGTGTATCCACATTGGAGAAGTCTTTGGTCAGCGCACAGCCTGCAATCTGCCCACAAGCCCAACACAATGAGGTAAGACGCCTTCTCACCTTCTCCTCTTCCGACCCTCTTCTCTCACTTTGTCTCTGTCTGTGTGTGCATCCCTCTCTCTCTTCCCCCTGCCCCAGAACGTGAGCTGGACCCAATGTAGGAGAATGGATTCAGTACCTTGCCTCACAGCCTAAATGTCAGTGTGCTGTTCTATCATGATGGGCATTGTGCAGGGTTGGGTCTGACTTCGTCCACATTGCCCCCGGATTGAGTTGCACATGGTGAATTTATGCACAGAACCTTCAGGAAAACTGGGGCTAACTCATTGCCCCAGGGTTCCCTTTCCACAAAATTCCATTGTCCTCCAGGGATTGTGAATGAATTAGGGGAGAGTGAGGCTCAAATTAGCAATTAGGAGAGTGGACCTTTAATTGGGGGAATTGGGGTGCCAGGACAGTGACTTATAAATGGGGAGATTAGCACAGGGAGCCATTTAGTGAGGGATAAGGGGAGGCGAACAGTCAATGGGGAAACATTTAGTAAATAAACTGGGATTACTGTAGCTGCAGGCCCGTACAGCATGTTAATGTAATCCTACAGCTCCAGAGTTGTTGGCTGCAGACACCCTGATTTAGGCTGACACTGTTACTGAGGGCGTGCTACACTGTCAGATCCCCTGTTTCCAGGTGAGATGTTAACCCCGGCCATCAGTTCTCTGGAATGGATATAAAAAGTTCAGCAATCCCATGTCACAGTTTGAAGCTTGCTCTCTAACTCTCACTGTCTTCTCCCCCAACCCTTGTTATTGTCATGGTATCTCCTCCTCCCTCCTTCATCCTCCCTCTCTCCCTCTATCTATCTTTCTCTCTCTCTTTTTCCCCAACCCCACCCCATAACTTGTGGTTGCTGCCTCTAATTGACCACTTTACTGGTTTTGTCTCGGCCGGGGAGGTTGGTAGATTTTCTCTTGCCTTGCTACACACTGATTTTTATCTATAAACCTATTGCTGTCCTCTTGTATGTATAGCCCAGCACAACAAATGTTGAGGCTAAGAAGAATGAAGATGATGACGATGATGATGACGACGACATTGATCTCTTTGGAAGCAGCGATGAAGACGAGAAGGCAGAAAAAGATAGGGTCCGTGAGGAACGCTTACGTCAGTACGCAGAGAGGAAATCCAAGAAACCTGCCCTCATTGCCAAGTCCTCCATCCTCTTGGATGTGAAACCAGTAAGTGATGCTCCCTTCAGCCAATCCACCAAACCCCCTCTCTGTCTCTCACACACGCATGCACACACAGTACACTTCATCCCACAACTTTTCCAACAAGCTGACATAGTGTACGCAAAGAGTGCATGTTTCACTAACCAGGGAGAAACCAATTGAAGAAAATTGACAAAAGAACCAGAGGCAGAATGAGTATAACAATAAACACAGAACTGTGGACATGGGAAATCTGAAACAAAAACAATGCTGGAGAAACAGCAGGTCTGGCAGTTCTAACAGAAGGTTACTGGACTTTGCACTGCAAGTTGTTGTGATGTGGATTGAAAATAGATTGATTAATAATGCCCAGAACACATACAATATGATCTCTCCATGCAAAGGAGAACAGTGCAGAAGGACAGGACTAATTGGGAAACACTTGCTGGCTAAGGCACGTTCCTAAATGCCTTCCTTCTGTGTTGTCAGGTTCTGTCAAACCAAGACTTGAACCTGTAAAAACTTTGTCAGAATTGTTGCAGGTGAGAAGAAGGCCACCAGTTCTCCCAGTGGGCCGTTCATTTAATATCACTCCTCTGTCTTCTCCCCATAACCCTGTACATTCTTCCTTTAACCTTCACTTTTGAATATCACTATTAAAGCTGTCCCTAGCAGTGCATTCCAGACCCTAACCACTCACTGCATGGAAAGCATTTCTCGTGTTGCTATTGCTTCTTTTGCCAGTTACCTACAATTTGTGCCTGCTTGTCTGTTCCTCTTCATATGAGTGGGAATAGTTTCTCCCTACCCACTCTGTATAATTTTACAAAGAAAGCACCCTGTATGGTCTTGTACTTCTCCCAGCACTGTACTGTTCACTGCAATTTAATTGAGTGAACAGTTAATGCTGCGAATAAAAATGAAGCTGTGGTTGTTGAGCAGTGACATCCTGGAGTGGGGCTGAGGGGGACTCTTCACATTATTCTGATATCAAGCCGTACATTTGCAACACAGAGCTCTCGGCTTTCACCACCACCTGCTCCTTTTCTCCCGCTTACTGCATCCTTATTGCAGTTGTAAACATTTCAGAGTCGAATCGTCTGCATATTTCCACCCGGAAACATGGAATTCCCTTCATCAGAATGCCATTGGTCATTTAATCTCCACCCCTGAATCTTATCTTGACCCAGTTTCACCAGCTCCCATTCCCCAGAAACAGAAACATGATTTACCAATACGTACACTGTTCAATATATAATCCCATAAATTAAACCAGGAGCAGCAGGCAGGTCAGTTTCTGGTGTTTCAGTGCTGATTTTTTTTCCTAGCCTTTTAAATCCTTACTAAGGTCTGTCTTGTAACTTCTGTTGATTTAAAAGCGTTTCTTAATAGTCAGGATTAGTCCCAATATTGTTAAAAGCTTTCACAAAACCATGGTATGAATTTCTAATTTAAATTTGGATATGTGATGCGATCCTAAGGCATTTCCTGGACCCTGATTGTGTTTTCTAAATTACAGTCTACATTAATGATATCGGCCAGAAATCTGAATGCACAGTTGAGCTTAACTTCCCAGTTACAGCCCATACAGGAAATCCAACTCTTACCTCGACTGAAATTTTGTTTATGGTGGCAGGTGAAAATTGTCAACAACTTTCAATCAGAATGGGCAGGTGTTCCCTGCAGAAGGCAGATCGCTGACACTAGCGAGGTCTGGTGCATGAACTAAGATGTAGACACATTCAGGCTGAACAGCGGTTTTGGTCAGTCCGTGTTGTTTGTGTGGAAATGGGGTTTGACGTGTCACCCTAGTGAGATGCGGGCCTGTTTTATGCAGTGGGATGACGAGACGGACATGGTGAAGCTGGAGGAGAGTGTGCGGACCGTCCAGATGGACGGCTTGGTGTGGGGAGCCTCCAAACTCGTCCCGGTTGGGTATGGGATCAAGAAGCTCCAGATCCAGTGTGTGGTGGAGGATGACAAGGTCGGCACGGATCAGCTGGAGGAAGAAATCACCAAGTTTGAGGATTATGTGAGTATTGAACTGTAAAGCTGGCTGTCGTAGGGTCTGAGGGAGCTCAGCTGGGCCAGTTAGAATTGCAAAGGCAGAAGAGAGTGTCTCCCTCGCATGTTCTCCAAACTAGGGCATAAATCAGCTATTTCTTCTTCTTCCTTGGGCCAAGATTCCAGAATTTATTCCCTAATGGCCTGGTGAGAATAACTGCATTGCACAGATCACAGTGGCTTAAGCAGCAAGTCATCACCACCTTAGGGACACCAGAGATGGGCAGTTAATGCTAGCCTTGCCTCAACGCCAGAGCCTCTGGTGGGAGTGTGAATGTCTCAAAGGGTCTCAGTATTAGATCCACTCAGCTGTGGTATGTCTATGAACACGCAACATCTCCCATCCTCCAGGGAGATGCAGCCCAGCCGTGGCCTTTCTTCTGGACTCCATGCTGATAGAACGCTCTTGTTCCCCATTATTATGCTCCAGCTTCTGACATTTGCGTTATAAGTCCATTCTGGACTGTGCATCTGCAGGTTTTTACCCCAGTAACCTGGTGGTAAACTTGGTGATCGCTGGCTCTTCTAATCACAACTTTTCTTCCTTCTTTTTCAGGTGCAAAGCGTTGATATTGCTGCTTTTAACAAGATCTGAAGATGCTGAATCTTTCCAAATTTACTGAGGAATAAAGGATTGAGTTATCTGTCCTGCCGTGTCCGTGTCGCAGTTTCAGGAGGTGGAACGCTTGTCCTTTTACCCCCTCTCACTGTCCAAGGTCACAGACACTCCTTCCAGCTGAAGCTGTGAGTTACTTGTGCTACTTTCAGCCTGGTCTGTTGTGTTCATGGTCCACCATGCCATCCCCCCATGTTGGAGAGAGCAAACGGACTGGGAGACCACTTTGCCCACTCCACAAGCATGACCATGACCTCCTGGTCGCTTGCTGTTTCAATACTCTGTCTTGTCTCGTGCTCACATTTCTATCCTGGGTCTGCTGCAATGTTCCTGTAAAGCCAGGCACAGGCTGGAGGAACAGCAGCTCACCTTCCAGTGAGGGCATTTCACAACCTCCAGAGTGCAACATTGAGTGCAGCAACTTCAGGCCATGTCCATCACTCTAATTTTCTTTTCCTAAGTGCCAGTCTGTATCTTCTTCTGCAAAATATTTCCTCCTGGTCAGGGATTCTGGAACCAAGAGGCATAATTTTAAAATAACGGGGAAAATGTCACTTAGGATCAAGATGAGAATTACCTTTAGTCAGAACAATGTGAATCATTGAAATTTCCTGTCCCAGAAGAGTAAGGGATAGATTGCTTCACTGGCGTATATGGTTAATGGGTTAGTCATAGAATCCCTACAGTGTTGAAGCAGATCATTCGGCTCACTGAGTCTACACCAACCCTCCAAAGAGCACCTCGCACAGACCCATCCCCTGCCCTATCTCTGTAACCCTGCATTCCCGTGGCTAATCCACGTAGCCCGCACATCCCTGGACACCATGGGCAATGTAGCATGGCCAATCCCCCCTAATCTGCGCATCTTTGGACTGTGGGAGGAAACCGGAGCACCCGGAGGAAACCCATGCAGACATGGGGAAAATGTGCAAACTCCATACAGACAGTCGCTCAAGGCTTGAATTGAACCCAGGTCCCTGGTGCTGTGAGGCAGCAGTGCTAACCACTGAGCCTCTGTGCTGTGGGTAAAAGGCATTGAACTGTTTGATCAGTCATCCCTGTATTAAATGACAGAGCAGGCTTAATGGTCTGAATGGCCTACTTATGTTCCTCCGTTCTGTCATTTTTGCTTTCAGACGGAGGTCATTCCTCTCTATTGTATTATTAACTAATAGATCTACCCCTTCACCTTTCCCTAGTTTCCTGTTACTCCTGTATGTCCTGTTTTCTTCAATGCCCTTCACAATTCTAGTCACAGACCATTTCACCCAGCAGCCATGTGTCTGTAATGGCTCCCAGATCATACAAAGTCATGGGGTAGAATACACCTAAAAAAGTGCCGAGACCAATGTTCTTACCCACTGTGCAATTAAGGAAAGAGAGGATCTTGAATTACGTAATCAGGGCAAGGGATCAAATTTGGGAAGGTGTGGTAAATTAGAGATGAGAGTCAAGGCCAAAGAGTATTACAGGAAATGATAAACAGCCCGCTGCAGGAAAGGATACGGAGTGTGAATTGAAGAGTCAACTAACAGATCATAAAACTAAAAGCCCTATCAGAATGCGTGCAGCATCCAAATCAAAACGGATGAACGGAAAGTGCAGACAGACCATAAAATGTAGGAGCAGAAGTAGGCCATTCAGCCCATCAGGTCTGCTCTGCAATTCAATGAGATCATGGCTGATCTGATAATCCTCAACACATTGCTGCCTTTTCCCCATAATCCTTGATTCCTTTACTGATTTTTTTTTTAAAAGGTCTCTCAGCCTTGAATATACTTAAGGGCTCAGCCTCTGTGTAAAAGAATTTTGAGACTGGTACATTCAGAATATTTAGGGCTGACATTGACAGATTCTCCCATGAAATGCACGTGCTGCCTGACCTACTGAGCAGTTCCACCATTTTCTGTTCTTGCATTCAATTTCTTTTCTCCAGTTGGCTGAGGGGTGATCTGATTGAGCTTTTTAAAATTATGAAAGAGGCAAACAGACTTGTGGGGGTTGGGGGTCAGGGTGTGGTGGTAGGAACCAAGAGACCATGAAAACAAGGAACATGCTAACAAATCCAGAAGGCAGATCAGGCAAATAACTTTGTGCAGAGTGGTTAGAAAGTAGAAAATGCTTCCTTGTGTAGTTAAGAGGTACAGTTTAGTGGCCAGCCAAATAAATGAAAAGCAAAGGCATATTATAGTAATGTTATAGTGATGTGGGTGAGAGAAATAAAATTGGCAGAATGAACACTGATGAGTGGTCTGTGTGTATCCCTTCTCCCTAAATCTGTTATTGATTACACTGATTAGTTTGTGCATTGATGTGGGATTTACATAGAACAGTACAGGCCCTTCAGCCCACAATGTTGTGCTGACCGATTATCCTACTAAAATCAATCTACCCTGCGTACCCTACATTTTACTATCTTCCATGTGCCTATCCAAGAGTCGCTTAAAAGCCTGTAAATTATCTGACTCCACTACCGCTGCCGGCAGCGCATTCCACACGCCCACCACTCTCTGTGTAAAGAACTTACGTCTGCCATCTCCCCTATACCTTCCTCCAATCACCTTAAAATTATGCCCCATCGTGATAGTCATTTCCGCCCTGGGAAAAAGTCTCTGACCATCCACTCTATCTATGCCTCATCGTCTTGTAAACCTCTGTCAAGTCACCTCTCATCCTTCTTTGCTGTAATGAAAAAAGCCCTAGCTTTCTCAACCTTTCCTCATAAGACCTGCCCTCCAGTCCAGGCAGCATCCTGGTAAATCTCCTCTGCACCCACTCTAAAGCTTCCACATCTTCCCTATAATGAGGTGACCGGAACTGAACACAATATTCCAAGTGTGGTCTAACCAGAGTTTTACAGAGCTGCAGCGTAACTTCGTGGCTCTTAAACTCAATTCCCCTGCCAATGAAATCCAACACACCATACGCCGCCTTTACAACCCTATCAACTTGGGTAGCAACTTTGAAGGATCTGTGAACGTGGACCCCAAGATCCCTCTGTTCCTCCACACTGCCGAGAATCCTGCCATTAACCATGTATTCTACATTCAAATTCGACCTTCCAAAATGAATCACTTCACACTTTTCTGGGTTGAATTCCATCTGCCACTTTGCCCAGCTCTGCAACCTACAACAGCTGTCCATGCTGTCCACAACTCCACCAACCTTCGTGTCATCGGCAAACTTACTAACCCACCCTTCCACTTCCTCATCCAAGTCATTTATAAAGATCACTAAGACCAGAGGTCCCAGAACACATCCCTGCGAGACACCACTGGTCACCGAGCTCCAGGCTGAATACTTCCCATCTACTACCACCCTCTGTCTTCTATTGGACCGCCTTCTGTTGGATTTCTTTGTATACACTGATGATTCCCGATTTGTGCCGGATTCCAATCTGGTTGATGTAAAATGTGTTGCTGAAGTATCTAAATAAATCTTGGGAATTGTGGGAGTGCCAGGCTGGATGGAATCATGAAGTGCTGCAGATGCTGGCAATCTGATGTCAGTGTAGAAACTGGTGGAAAAGCTCAGCAGGGCTGCCAGCATCTCCAAACAGATCAGGGCAGCAACCCCTCATCAAAGGAGAGACTGTGGCATGGTGGTAATGTCACTGAACCAGGGGGACATACAACAAAGAACTGAGCATGCTGGAAATCTGAAACAAAAACAGAATGTTGGAGAATCTCAGCAGGTCTGGCAGCATCTGTGGAGAGAGAAACCATCAATGGTTTGAGTCCAGTAACCCTTCAGAACTATCTCTCTCCACAGGTTCTGGCAGACCTGCTGAGTTTCTCCAGATACATCTGTTTTGTGTGTTTCAGATCTCCAGCAGCTGTCCTTTGGTTTATTTGGATATTCTGGGGCATGGGTTCAAATGCAACGCAGCAGATGGTGAAATTTGAATTTAATAAAGCCTGGAATAAAAAGCTAGCCTTGTGCCAACCACTGGCAATTCTTATAAAAATCCATCTGGTTCATGAAAGAAATCTGTCATCCTTACCTGGTCTCTGGTGACTCCAGACCCACAGCAACATTTTTGACTCTTAAATGCCCTCTGAACAAAACAGGGCATCCCAGGAACAGCACCAGACAGACCTTTTTTAAAAGAAAGGGAGCTGGCAGACTAATGATAATATGACACAATACTCTAAGTGTGGAACCAGCAAGTGATAGACAGTGATGTGATCCCACAACTAATGGATCAGATCTAAGCTCTGCACTCTTGCCACATCCTGTTGTGAATGGTGGTGGATAATTAGATAACTAACTGGAGGAGGCTCCACAAATATCCCCATCCTCAATGATACGGCAGTCCAGCACATTTATGTATTCATGAGATGTGGATGTTGCTGGTTAGTCCAACATTTCTTGCCCAGAGGTCAGTTAAGAGTCAACCATGTTGCTGTGCACCTGGAGTCTCATGTACACCAGACCAGGTAAGGAAGGCATGTTCCTTCTCACCAGATGGGTCTTTTCCCAATCATCGAGAATGGTTTCATGGTCGTCATTGATTCCAGATTTTTATAAAGCTGAATTCAAGTTCCACCATCTGCCATGGTGAGATTTGAACCCAGGTTCCCAGATGTTGCCGGGTCTCTGGGATTATTAGTCCAATTCCTCTGGGCCATCACCTCCCTTTCGTTGCAAAAGAAAAGGGTGAAGTATTTGTTTCCACTGACAGTTACAAACTCTAAGCAGATGATCCATCCCCAGTGCTCCCCAGCTTCACACATACCAGTCTTCAGGCAATTCTAGCCAACAATGCCCACATCCTGTGAATGAAAAAAAAGTGATTCACTCCACATGATATCAATGAACAGCTGAAGGCGCTAGATAGTTGAACAGCTATTGGCTTTGACAACATTCCAGCAGTAGTAATGAAGACTTGTCCCTACCTAAGCTGTTCCAGTCCAGTTATAACTCTAGCATTGTCCATACTTGGCCCAAGAATGTCTTGGTACAAAAAGCAGGACAAATCTAACCCAGCCAATTGCTGCCTATCACTCTACTCTTTGTCAACAAAGTGATG